CTGCGAAAAGAGAGAGTTTGACTTCTTCTTTGCCAATCTGAATAGCTTTTATTTCTTTTTGTTGTCTGATTGCTGTTGCTAGGACTTCTAGTACTATGTTGAACAATAGTGGTGAGAGTGGGCATCCTTGATGTCTTCCTGATCTTAAGGGAAAGGTTCTCAGCTTTTCCCCATTGAGGATGATATTCACTGTGGGTTTTTCATAGATGGATTTTATGAACTTGAGGAATGTTCCCTCTATCCCTATACTCTGAAGAGTTTTAATCAGGAAAGGATGCTGTATTTTGTCAAGTGCTTTTTCTGCATCAATTGAGAGGACCATATGGTTCTTCTCCTCCCTCCTCCTATTAATGTGTCCTATCACATTGATTGATTTGCGAATGTTGAACCACCCTTGCATCCTGGGGATAAATCCAACTTGGTCGTTGTGGATGATCCTTTTAATGTATTGTTGGATCCTATTAGCTAGGATTTTGTTGAGGATTTGGGAATCCGTATTCATCAGGGATATCGGTCTGAAATTCTCCTTTTTGTTGGGGTCTTTGTCTGGTTTGGGGATTAAGGTAATGCTGGCCTCATAGAATGAGTCTGGAAGCTTTCCTTCTGTTTCTATTTTTTGAAACGGCTTCAGGAGAATAGGTATTATTTCTTCTTGGAATGTTTGGTAGAATTCTCCAGGGAATCCATCAGGCCCTGGACACTTGTTTTTTGGGAGGTTTTTGATCACTGCTTCAATCTCGTTACTGGTTATTGGCATATTCAGGTTGTCAATTTCTTCTTGTTTCAGTCTTGGCAGTTTATAGGTTTCCAGGAAGGCATCCATTTCATCCAGATTGCTCAGTTTATTGGCATAGAGTTGTTGATAATAATTTCTAATAATTATTTATATTTCCTTGGTGTTAGTTGTGATCTCTCCCCTTTCATTCACAATTATTTTTTTTTATTTTTTATTTTTTATTTTTATTTATCATTCACAATTATTAATTTGGGTCCTTTCTCTTTTCTTTTGGATAAGTCTGGCCAGTGGTTTATCAATCTTATTAATTCTTTCAAAGAACCAGCTTCTAGTTTTGTTGATCTGATCTACTGTGTTTCTGGTTTCTAATTCATTGATCTCTGCTCTAATCTTAATTATTTCTCTTCTAATGCGTGGCTTAGGCATCATTTGTTGCTTTTTCTCTAGTTCTTTAAGGTTTAGATTTAGTTGGTGAATTCGGGATTTTTCTATTTTTTGGAGTGAGGCTTGGATGGCTATGTATTTCCCCCTTAGGACTGCCTTTGCAGTATCCCATAGGTTTTGGACCAATGTGTTTTTGTTCTCATTGGTTTCCATGAATTGTTTAAGTTCTTGTTTGATTTCCTGGCTGACCCAAAAATTCTTGAGCAGAGTGGTCTTTAGCTTCCAAGTGTTTGAATTCCTGCCAAATTTTTTCTTGTGATTGAGTTCCAGTTTTAAAGCATTATGGTCTGAGAATATGCAGGGAATAATCTCAGTCTTTTGATATTGGTTGAGACCTGATTTGTGACCCAGTATGTGGTCTATTCTGGAGAAAGTTCCATGTGCGCTCAAGAAGAATGAATATTCTGTTGTTGTAGGGTAGAATGTTCTGTATATATCTACGAGGTCCATCTGGTCCAGTGTGTCATTCAAAGCTCTTGTTTCTTTGTTGATTTTCTGCTTAGATGAGGTCTCCTACAATTAACATATTGTTATCAATATGACTCTTTATTTTGGCTAACAGTTGGCTTATGTAGATGGCTGCTCCCATGTTGGGGGGCCTAGATATTTACAATTGTTAGATCTTCTTGTTGGATAGACCCTTTAAGAATGATATAGTGTCCTTCTGTGTCTCTAACTGCAATCTTTAGTTTAAAATCTAATTTGTCTGATATAGGAATTGCTACCCCAGCTTTCTTTTGAGGTCTGCTGGCATGGAAGATGGATCTCCATCCCTTCACTTTCAGTCTGGATGTATCTTTAGGTTCAAAATGAGTCTCTTGTAGACAGCATATGGATGGGTCCTGTCTTTTTATCCAGTCTGCAACCCTGTGCCGTTTTATGGGAGCATTTAGGCCATTCACATTGAGAGTGATTATTGAAAGATATGAATTTATTGTCATCATGTTGCCTGTGAAGACCTTGTTTTTATAGATTGTCCCTGTAAATTTCTTTTCTATATCATTCTTGGGGTCTTTCTCCTTTTATAGAACCCCCCTTAGTATTTCTTGCAGGGCCGGCAGCTTTCTGCCCTTCTGAGAGAGCAGAAGAGAGCGTTTCCAACCCTCTGCCTCAGAACAGAGAGATGGCTGTCTGTTCTTCAGTGAGCTCTCCTGGCCACACTATCTCAGTTTCCATCCGTGCTGCTATAAACAGCAGCATCCTGGGTTGTGCGCCCCTCCACAGGGCTCCCAGTCCTGCCTCCAGGTCAGGGCACATCTCTGCCCTTTGTGCTGCTAAAACCTCCAGCCACCCCCAGTTCGCACACTTGGCCCCGCTCTGGGTTTCCCTTGGGGGGCGCTGCCCTAAAGTCCTTTCCCTGCTGCTACCGGTCTGCAAGTCTGTGCCCCAGCCCCAGCATGGGCGGCCATTGCTCACCGGTGGTGTAGGATACCCACAGCTCCCTCCCCCTTCTGTTTATCCTCCGACATCTGCCTGCGGAATCCCGGCTCCCTGCTTGTACCTTGAAACGAACTGCCTGCAATATTCTGTTTGCAGAGATCCAGATCTATCTTCTTACATCTCAGGCTGATTTCATGGGTGTTCAGACTCATCTGGTAGATATCCAGCTCTGTTCTGGGGACTGGTTGGAATAGCGTCCCCTACTCCTCTGCCGTCTTTTCCCCTCCTCCATCTTTTATTCTAAATAGGCCATCAGTGGGTTGGATGTGGCCCATTCACATTGGGGATGGTGATCTGCCTTACTGAGTTCACCAGCTCAAATGCAAATCTCATCTGGAAACACCTCACAGATACACCTAGAATAATATTTAATCTGGGCCCCTTGTGGCCAGACAAATTAACACATGATATTAACCATAGTGGTAAGGAGGTGTGGGAATGAGTCAGGCTAGGAATCAACAAACCCAGGCTCTCCTCTCAGCTTGGCATTTCCTGGCTGTGTATCTTTGGATCAGTGACTTAACCTCTCTAGATTCTGTTTTTGTTTTGTTTTCTTTATTTTTTTTATTTTAAAGATTTTATTTATTTATTTGACAGAGAGAGAGAGAGAGAGCACAAGTACGCAGAGCAGTAGGCAGAGGGAGAGGGAGAAGCAGAGTCCCCGCGGAGCAGGGAGCCCGATGTGGGGCTCGATCCCAGGACCCTGGGATCATGACCTGAGCCGAAGGCAGACGCTTAACTGACTGAGCCACCCAGGTGTCTGTCTGGTTTTGTTTTCTGAAGAACAGCAAAAGAGAGAGAGAAAAAGATGCCTGCATGTCTCTCTCATCCTGCAGAATTTTTAGAGGCATGGTTTTACTACTTTTATCAAAAAGCAAAATGTAACATTGTTTTCCTTCTGAAAAGAGAGGGCAAATGGAATGACCATGATAATTCTGTCATCCTCAGCCGCTACAGGACCCTTAGGGATGTGGGAAATGAATCTGACATTAAAAACCCAGTTAAGCAATCGACAAAGAAGATTGTCCAAATACTACAACCTGAAAAATCTGAATGTTTCAGTTTTGCCCAGTGGACTTCTAAGGTATGAACAGTTCCTATGGTCTGGAAGTTATTCTAGAAATAAGGATCTGTATGATGTGTTAAGTTAGTTTTTCTAACTTTTTTTTTCTTTTATTGTTGGCCTGGCTCAACCAGGGGGTGGGAGAGGTGATTTCCCTGCCCATCTCTCCATCGCAGTCCCCCTCTGCCCTGTTGAGTCCCTGCTCCATCTTTCAGAGGCCGGGCCCCCCTGACAGACAGACTGTCATCTACACTCCTCTTTAGGAAGGCCTTGTCCCAGCCCAGGAGCCTTTTCCTTTCTTAGGGCTCTTTCCTTCCAGCCTTGGTTTTTAAGAGAGGCCTGGCTAATGATCTTATTACTACTGTGACAAGAGCAGCCGATTAAATGAGTTTAATCCCACGGAGCTGCTCCACTTTGAGGCTTCTCATCCAGAGAGCGACTGGCTGCCTCTGCTGTCTGTGTAACAGCCCAGCTCTGAGCAGCCACACACACATCTACCTTCTGCCCGAGAAAACACCGTGAAGAAAAGGTGATCGTTCAAATTCCTCCTCTTCAGGAAAGGGTCCACCTAACTTGAACTAAATATAGTAAAACATAAAAAATCAGCCATCATATCGATCTAGTCGGTGCTATCAGAACTTTCTTTTTTTTTTTTAAGATTTATTTATCTTCAGAGAGAGAGTGTGTGCATGTGTGTGAGAGCAGGGATGGGGGAGGGGTAGAGGGAGATGGAGAGAGAGAGAGAGAATCTTAAGCAGACTCTGTGCTGAGTGTGGAGCCCGAGGCAGGGCTATATCTCTGAGATCATGACCTGAGCTGAAACCAAGAGTTGGACACTTAACCAACTGTGTCACCCAGGCACCTCCCAGAACTTTCATTATTATTACTTAGCAGACATCTATCAAGTACCAGTTACCTGCTGGACCCACACGAGGCCATGGGCATGTGAAGCAGAGTACAGCATGGTCCATATGGGGCTGAGAGACCCACGGAAACATTGCCTGTGGGATGCATGCTGAGCAGCCCAGAGACTGTGCAAAGCCCTATGGGAGAATCCATAATCCTCAGCTCTTTGAGACCAACAGCTTCCCTATGCTGTGTCTGATCTAGGACTGCTTCTCCCATACCTCTTTGTTTCTGGGTCTCATTTTGCTTTCCTTCCCTCGCTTGCCCCTAGATGATACATCACACTCATAATTGCTGCCTTGGTGTCCATTTTCCGGCTACCCTGTAAACTCCACAAGGGAAGAGACTGTCTGTTGTCTTGTCCACTACTGAATTCCTGGCATGGAGTAGGTGCACCATGACTCTGCTAATGAATGTCTATAAAACTTCAGCTAAGGGGCGCCTGGGTGGCTCAGTCGGTTAAGTCTGCCTTGGGCTCAGGTCATGATCTCAGGGTCCTGGGATCGAGCCCCGTGCCCAGCTACCTGCTCGGCGGGAAGCCTGCTTTGCCCTCTCCCTCTGCCCCTTCCACCTGCTTGTGCTCTCTCTCAAATAAATAAAGTCTTAAAAAAAAAAAAGCCTCTTCTAAAACTTAAACTTGCAGAAATAGAGAAGTCTGAAACCAAAGCCAATGACAGTAACAGCTGACAATTCTCTAGTGCTGACTTTATGGCAGTTACCATTCCCAGGGCTTTATGAGTCTCCAGTTAATCCTTATAAGAACCTCTGAGCTCATTGCCTCTGTGTCACAGGTGGGCCCATAGAGGCACAGACAAATCACTTTTTCCAACGGTCCAGAGCCAGCCCCAGGGTCTGCCGCTGGACATTCTGATTGCCGAGGCTGTGTGCTAAAGCCACTCCCTGCAGGAAGTGATGGTGCCATCGAGTCCACCAACCCATTTAACGGCTGAGCACATTGAGACTCAGAGGTGTAACCTGAAATAGCCAGGACTGGAGAGGCAGGGATTGGAAGAACCGGGAGGGAAAACCTGTTCTTTCGTTTCCCAGTTCATCAGTTCTTTCCCCTAAACTTCACTGACTTATATTGAATTTTGACAGACTCAAGTCTTATCTGTTAGTTCCCATGTGAGACTTTGATTTTCTGTTGCTTTTCCTGACTTGCCCATTTTCACGGTCAGATGTTCAGCTTTGCGGCAGCGTGGAGGAGCCAGGTTTTCCAGTGTTTGCTGCTGCCTCCTCTCCACAGGCCGCCCCATCCTGCCACACAGACAGGCTTTCTAAATATGACAGCCATCGACAAGGGTGCACGCACAAAGAGAGAGACGTTGACTTGAGAGAAGCTGCTCTGGGACACTTAGAGGCAAGGAGAAACATGAGACCTTTGGAAATAGAATTCAAAACAAAACCGAACAAAAACAACCACCCTCGCTTCGGCAGTGGCTGTCAGGTCTGATGTTAGTCTGAATGAATACTCTTCAAGGGGGAAATGTAATCAATTACCAACTCGGATGGGTCACTGCAAGGATAAAAATACTGCATAGCACGATGAGCAAATTTCCTAGTATAACCGCCAAAGAATTCCTAAACCATGTTTCAGTATATTTAATTTCTCATGAAAATAGTTCGCTTGGAAAAGAGAGACTGGAATGTAGAGTTCCTTATGATCCTGCATCCAGACACCATTACTGTATAGTATTTACTTCCATTCATTTCTTTCTATTAATTTGCTCTATTAATTAGTGGTAAATTGGGCATATATTCAAATTTGTATTTTGCCTCTTTGTATTAACATCCCATGAGGATTTATTCTGTGGTGCTACCATATTTTTTGCATAATGTTTTGTTTTTTAGATTGACAAATATGTTATGGAAGAAATGAATAAGTTTTATAAAAAAAGATTATTCTATAAGGACACTGTGCAAGATCTGCTAAAGTTCATCCGGAATCTGGGAGAACATATTAATGAAGAAAAAAATAAGAAGTGAGTATTATTTCTGTTCCTCTAAGTCATATATGAAATGAGGATGATTAAAAAATCCCATTCTAAATTTATATCTGCTATTTGTTAGAAAGAAGAAAATTTGTTTTGATGAAATGAAAAGTAATTCCTTCCCTCTGTTTGGAAAAGGGTCAATACGTTGTAAGAACAATGAGTGATGGATGTGCCTGGCAGGCTCTCATCTTCCTTCTTAGCTTCTGCTGAGCCCTCTTGAACAGAAGGGTACTGACTCCCTTGTGGGAAGCAATGCAGGGGACTGGGCAGCTGGGTAAGGTGAATGTAGCCCTGTAAATGTCTAAAAAGTAGACCCGTGTTAGTGAAATCAGCTTTTGCTGCCCAAAATGGTAGTTGCAAACTCAAAAAACCTTGCAGTTTTCAGGGGTCTTTTGGATTTTGGAACTGTAGGTAAGAGATTGTGGAACTATATCATCTCCATGTTATGAATGATTAAACTGGGGTTCACAAAAATTAAGTTGCCAATTAGCTGAAGAGTTGTTAGGAGATAAATCTTGTTCTGTTGGATTCCAAAGTCCTGACGTGCTCTGCTCTAGAAATTGAGGGAGCAAAGAGATCTCTGGGCCCAGATGCTATAAAGGGGGAAGATGATCTGGGGGCAACCATGCTAATACATTTGTGTTTCATTTCAGGATGAGGTTGAGCATTGGAGAACCTTTCCAGTATTTGCAGAAGAATTTTCCCGATCTGGTCATGTATGTCTATAAGAAACTACAGAACACAGAATACAGAAAGCATTTCCCCAAAAACTCACAATCCAAACAAGCATTGGAGTGATGAACGTCAGCCCTGAGTGGTGGCTGAGGTTTTCGCTTTCAGGGAGGCACTTATTTAGCTGCGTGATCCTGGGCACATCACAACTCTCTGGGCCTCTTAACTAACCTGGTTGCTTGCAAGGGTGAGTTAGATAGTGGCTGTGTCAGGTCCTGGCACCAGTGCTCAGTATTCCCCACATGTTTATAACCAAAAAAGGATATACTCCAACTACCCTCCTTGTCCTTCTTACAGGTAAAGCTTAGTGGCAGGAGCTGGGTGGGGGGCATCCTGCTAAGAGTCCTCTTATCAGTTGCACCAAAGGAGTGAGTGCTTAGACCTCTAATGCTTGATTATCTCATTTGGTTCTCCCAATGACCTTGCAAGCTAGGGTTTGTTATCTCCATATAAGAACTGGCAGACTTGAGACTCAGACAGTTTGAACTACTTGCCCAAGATCACACAGTTTTTACAGAGCACTGTATAAATGCATGTTGTGTTATTGTTATTACTCACGTGGGTACTTTTGAACTTAATTACCAGCCCAGGGATCTTCTGGATGGATCCCAAAAGGAATATGTCAAGGGGACTCCAGGAAACTCATTCATTCATTGACTCCACTTATTCATTCATTCAATATTTTTTGAGCACCTAGAATAAGCCTAGGCACTAATTGTATGAATTCCATTCCTTCTAGAACCACCTGCACTGGTTTTCTATGACCTTATGGCAGTAGTTCTCAACTGGGGGCAGTTTTGCCCCTGAGGGGCCATTTGGCAGTGTCCGGGATGCTTTTGGTTTCAAATCTGGAAGATAAGGGGATATTATTGGCATCTGGTAGATGGAGGTCAGGGATGATGCCAAACATTCTATGGTGCACAGGATAGCCCCCCACAACATGAAATTATCCAGCCTAAAATATCAGTGGTACCAAGACTGAGAAACTCTGCCTTAAGGGATCAGGACACCTTTGAACTGACTTGGGGCCCAGGACCATGGATTATGTGGACCACCTCACAGAGGAGTGACTTGGATTTGTTTTCTTGTTTTTGAATTTGTAGTGAAACAATTCCAGTGTCAACTCTCCAAGAAGTCCCCTGAATACCCTCACTTTCCACACCCCAGTCCCAGTGTTCTCTCTGGCTCCCTAGCACCCATAGCCACATCAGAGCATGCTTCTTTCCACCTTTGCATGCTTCTTCCCTACTGGACTGTAAGAGCTCAAGTGCCAATGAGTTATATATATATATATAATGAGATATATATATATAAAATTTATTTGTATCATTAATGCTTAGCAAAAGGTCTGCCACATAAATATTCATTGAAAAATGAATGAATCATCTTCATACATGAATAATAATGCTACCTTACATTTTAATGGCGCTTTATAATTTATAAATTACACCTACATATTTTCTCTTTTAGTTTTCAAAACAATCCTGCAAGGTAAATGCTGTTATCCTCATTTTGCAGATGAGGATAGAGACATGTTGATTTGCTCTAATACATGGCTAGGAAGTATCACTGTCTTGATTTGAACATATTTTCTGGCATTAAGTCTGATGTATTTTCCACTTATCCTAGTTGTGGTGGTCAAGATGGAGCTTTGTAATGGGAGGATCTGGGGAAAAAAACAAACAAAAAACTACAGTGTCTTAGGTTCTTTCTGAAGAGAAGGTAGCCTGAACCAGGCTTCATTGACTTCATTAAAGTCAAGAAGTGTTGGAAGTTAAACTAAACAAAATTGACATTAATGTCTTCTGCTCTCACCTGTGATTGCATGGATCATTCTCTCCTTGCTAAAAAAAAAAAAAAAAAAAAAAGAAGTCCTGGAAGAAAGAAACTTTAGGCTGTTCTATAAGGTTTTAGAAGCAGGAAGATTGCTTTAGGTTTTAAAATTAAGTTTTGGTTTTTTGATTTGTAGTAAGTACCTGGATATGTCAATCAAAATGCCCATTTGTAAAGCATATTCAATAAAACTTGGAATCATCTTATTAAGTCTGATTTTCTCAAAGTGATATTTTCATTATAAAGAGTAGTGATAAGTATAATAGAAAATGTTCAATGATTAATGCCTGGGTAAGTTTTAAGAAAGGGCATCTTGCTCTTTAGTAATGGAAAAAGGAGGCTATTTTCGCCCTCCAGTTATTCTGGAACAGTAGCCAGCTTGGGTGTCTTTGTAGAGAGGGAAGGAAGGAACTGAACAATTTACCCTCTGCTTTAATTCTCTGAAGGTTTCTGTGGACACTCTGCAAATATTTCTCATGCAGTTGTCATGATCACAAACATTTAATTGAGTTTGTGGCTCCCATTAGGTACTGTGTTAGGCAAGGTGATTCTGTGCCTGGGCTTGTCAAGCAGGAGTGCCAGTTACAGAGAGAAGAGAGGAGGTTGCCCGCCTGGAATGTTCTGGACAAGCAACATAGGAGAGAAAATAATGGTAAAGTAACAATCACTTCTTGAGCACCTGCTGGTTTCCAGTGCCTAATGCTTTTTTTTTTTTTTTGAGTTATATATTTTTTCTTTCTTTTTTTTAATTATTATGTTATGTTAATCACCATACATTACATCATTAGTTTTTGATGTAGTGTTCCATGATTCATTGTTTGCATATAACACCCAGTGCTCCATGAAGAACATGCCTTCTTTAATACCCATCACCAGGCCAACACATCCTCCCACCTCCTTCCCCTCTAGAACCCCCAGTTTGTTTTTCAGAGTCCATCGTCTTTCATGGTTTGTCTCTCCCTCTGAATCCCCCCCTTCATTCTTTCCCTCCTGCTATCTTCTTCTTCTTCTTTTTTTTTTTTTTAACATAAAGTGTATTATTTGTTTCAGAGGGACAGATCTGTGACTCAACAGTCTTGCACAATTCACAGTGCTCACCATAGCATATACCCTCCCCAATGTCTATCACC